ATGCAAATATTGAATCATGTTGTCCACCTGAACCTTGTCTACGTTCATTATACCTCAATGATAAAAAAAAGACACCGTTTCTAATAAGAACCATAGAATTATACTGCATTAAGATACTTGGATTTTAGGGCACATACTTTCCTCTGAATGTTAGTTCTTGGAATGACAAATTCATGCTCCTCATCCTTATGGAACACACATTTTTAAAGATGTCTCGAGATCTCCAAAGACACTAACAATGAACTCTGGGGCAGACAAGTGAACTGTTTCAATAAATCCCAAAGGAACACGTGAAGAGTCTAGGGAGGGGTGTGATGCCGCATGGCGGGCTCCGAGGGGACAGGGCTCTGCCCGCACCTCTGGGCCCCACTGCGCTCCAGTGGCCTCCCGCACAGGTGCAGAGGCCTCTGTTGGAACCCGGTGTCCGTCTGACTCCCGGCCCAGGAGCAGAGCCCGTTGGAGACGTCAGTGGTGCCCCCAAGGGTGCCAGTGGCGCTGCTGAGTGTAAGGCAGAGGCTTGCGGCCTGGAGGGGTTTCGGGACGCGTCTGCAGACTTGGCCACGGGAACGGGGCTCCTTTGGTGACTTACCAGCTACGGGCTTGTCAGAGACACGGCAGGTGTCGCTGGTTCTCACAGTCCTCGAGTGCAGGGGGCTGAAAGTGAACGCAGGGCCGTGCTTGGGGAAGCAGTGCCGCCTGAGGCAGGAAAGGACAGGCCAGGTACCCCTGCACGGCGGCAGCCCAGCCTCCCAGCCAGCGGGGCTGCTGCCCGCCCTGGACACCCGATGCTGGGACCCCACCGGCGCTCACGCCCCAAGGAGAGGGACATGCTGCCAGACGAGGCGTGGATGAGCCCAGCAGCCCAGGCCCAGATGACACTCACCTCCACACGTTCTTCTGTCCGTGATTCCCTGCTCATCCCTTCGGGGCCACAGCTCCACGGCATGCAAGTGTCCCTGTGTCCTGTATGTGCCCGCCCCTCACCAGCTCCATGGGGGCGCGTTGTGGGGCCAAGGCATAGAGTGCAGACGGGAGCCCCTGACCATGACTGTGTGCTGCAGGGTACCCACCTGCACCCCATCACCACACTGGTGTGAGGGAAACCCCTGGCCGAAGGCCTGCGTGGAGCAAGCACCCAGTAGAAGGGGGTTGTCACCATCAGGAGTAGCACCCAGGCCTGTGACTGGGCCTGTGACAGCCTTGTGTGTGTAGGGGGGAGGGGGGCTGCCTTTTAACCCCATGTGATCCCTACCCCATCCATAGTTGGCTCCTGGCCCCGCGCCCAGCTGGTGTGGAGACTCCTCGTGGGGAACATGCTCAGCTTCCTGGGGTGCTCCCTGCTGTGGGCACAAAGGAGCCCCTTTGCACCGAGGATGGGACCCAAGGCAAGCACGGTCGAGCCTGGCCAGGCAGGTGCGAGCTGACCACACAATGGGCCTTCCAGCGAGGGAAGGAGCCCAGGGTCAGCAGGCCGAGGCCTGAAGGCTGCCGTCTGTGGGCCCCGGATGCTGCCTTCTCTCCACCGGGAAGGCCCAAGGACCAGGGTCTTGGTCAGTTATCACGCCAGCTCGTACGAGGCTTTTCTGGACTTCCTACACTCCCCTGCCAGAGCCCCCGAGCCAGGTCATAATGAAATGGTGGTTCCGTCCCCACTTAACCCGAGACAGAGCCCTAGGGCAACCCCCGCCTCAGACCGGGGTGCGCACAGAACGATGTCCCCCAGGCGACAGGCACCTGCTGGCCCTTCACCTCCGGAGCCAAGGCGTCGCCGTCACCCAGGCCGACTCAGGGCTCCTCTGCGCACAGGGCACGGGTTTGAAAGAAAAAGCCCAAGTGCCAATTTGGACATTCTTCTCAACCCCCTCAAGCAAAGACCTGTAGCAATTCCTCCTGGGAAAGCAACGTGGCGACCCAGAGCCCCGGACTCAGCCTGGCCAGCAGGGACTGCCCACACGTGCGGAGCACGGAGCTTTGGGGACAGCCCCCAGCTGGGCAAACAGAGGAGCGGCAGAGACGTGGCCTTTGTTCTTGTCGCACCGCGAACGCCGAGGATTTGTGGACAGCTGACCACCCGACTCTGAGTCTTACACTAGCTTAGCAGCTCAATTTTCCTTAAAAAAGCATGTCTAAATCCACACTTGAATACAGCATATTCACCCCAATCCAGGTCACCAGCCTAGAGCACCGCAGCTTTAAGAAAACGGCGGCACAGAATTCTAAGGATGAAAACAACTCACACAACTTGCTTTCAGGAATGGAGACGATGTAACTGTAAACGAGAGAAAAGGGGGAACGCTGCAGCGGCCGCAGGGACAGCGCTTCCTCCGGCAGGGCCCCTCTGCGATGCGGCGGCGGGCCCGCTTCCTACTTGGTGGGAAAGGCCGTCCGAACACACGCTGCAAATCCAGTTAAGACATTTAAAATTTATTACACCTTTTGATCAAAATAGTTGAACATGTATATACAATCCCATTGGAACTTTTTCTGAAGGACCAGGGTGGACTAACACTTCGAGAACTCTGCTCCACACCTCAGATTTGTCGACTGCGCCACAACGGATATACGGCAAGAATTATTTTTAGATTAACTCTACTTTGAAATTCTCCATTTCTAACTGAATGTGATTTGAAGTGGCTGTTAACATTAATTCAGGGAAATGAACAGAATGTTCATTATCAAGACATTGGTTCTTACAGATCGATACCGTTAGTAATCAAGATACGCCTTAAAATTTCAAGAGCGGTGCGTGCACCCCGGCGCTCCCGTCCCCTGGAGGACGCTGTGATTTGGGCCCGTGTGTGAAATCCCAGTAAGGTCCAGTCACTTAGCATTGTTACACCTCTACAGTTTGTCTTGGGAAATGCTGATTTCTGGTATCAAAGATCCTACTTTAAAAATACGCCACACCAGGGTAGTGATGGCATCGCACAGTAATTACAGTTGCTTAATTCTGTTGGCTTGAAATGCAGTATGAAACTGAGCATGCATGTAATCTCAGCAATTTTTAAAAAGAGTATCCCTCCCACAAGTACTCTTTAAAAAGGTCTAAAGAGAAAGCACGTCTGTGTTCCTGGCTGTACGGGAAACCAGATGTTGTACTTCCGTAGCGGCGGTTCTGCTGCTCACAACTCTCTTTCTCAGAGGCGATCCCAGGCTTTGTGCAGACCTTACCTGGTGTGTTACCTGCACTCTTTCCACAGAAACGAAATAGAGTTACAGAGTTTGGGACGGACGGGTTCAGAGCACACGTGCCACCATTCTGCCAACGGAGGACAGAAGCTTTTCATGTTGTTCCAAAGCACGATTCTGCAGAATTCCATCATGTGCCATGAAAGCAAATAAAAAGCCGATACTTATCTTGGATTTAAAAACACGTTTTAGAATGTGTGGCTTTTATTCGGTGGTCACACCAGAAGGCGTGATGGTAGATACAGGTGTGGGGGGGGAGTAAAGCTGCCTGAGCCTGCTTGGCGAACCCATGCCCGCAATGGAGGCCAGCTGGGCTCGGAGGAAGGCGGGGGGGGGGGGGGGGGCGCCCGCCAGCAGAGGCGGGAGGTTGGGGGGGGGGGGGGGGGGGGGGAGGGCTGCAGAGGGACAGACATTCCATCAGACAACTTTTCTCTTGGGTGTTACCTTTTTGGTCTACAAACTGGAAAGCAAGGCTCAGACTGAAATAAATACATTTATTCTGAGTAATGGCCGTTACTGAGCACTGTCCACCAATGCGGCGCTGAGTGGGTGAGTGGGTCTTCCGCGGAGCAGCGACCTGGCCCGCCTCGCTGCGGGTGGAAGACCGGCCCCTCCAGTCTGTGAAGGGGAGCGGGCAGCACCTTGCTGCTCCTCACCGGGAGGAGGCCGCGCCCCTCCTCAGAGAAGACAGCCGGGCCCAGTCCCCGCGCTGGCTTCCTTAGTTGACTTTGTCCTGGAAGATGTACAGGTTGTTGGTGGCGGCCACGGCGATAATGTTCTCTGCCGGGTGCCAGGCCGTGTGCAGGATCTTCTTATTGAAGTCCAGACTGTCCACACTAATCTCGTCCTTCTTTCTCTTACCGCCTGTACACACTTTCCGAGGCTTTAAGCTGGCTCGAGGCTTGCTGTTCTCCCGGGAAGCTTCCAGCGTGACATCCCTCCGTGTATTCCGATCAAACATCCTGAAGAAGTTGTTGTAGGACCCCGTCATGATCGCACTGCTCAAGACAAGAAGAGAGAGTAACGCCTGTCAAGGACAAAGCGCTCAACACCCCCGCCGCACGCAGGCCCAGCGCCCTGGACGCCCAGCGCCGGTCACCTTCCCTCACCCCTCCTCTACCTGACAAGACCATTTCTAGAAATAAGAAACAACAGTAGAACGGTCAGGAGAGACATGCAGTGAAAATTTCCTCCTGAACTGCGTATGTGCCATCATGTCAGCAAAACAATACAGGATAGAAAGGGAAAAAAGGAATAGCCACACTTTTAATCACGCTTTTTAAGTGATCTCTACACCCAACATGGGGCTCAAACTCATGCCCCGGAGATCAAGAGTCCTGTGCTCCTCTGACTGAGCCAGCCAGGCGCCCCACATTAATGCCTTTCTACAAAGTAAAAAAACCCGGCACGATCCCAGCCCTGAGTAACTGTGATTTATTTTCAGGTCTTGAACATTTCCAACTCTGTCAATGATTCAAAGTCGGTTTGTGTTCAGTGGACATTAGTCAGACTTCTCCCAGCACAACACACAGTAGCTCAAAGAATACTTTTTAATTCATTTTGATGTCACGAAGTTCTTTCACAGGAAGCAACAAGAACACAAAGGGGAAAAGTCCTAGACCTCAGTGTGGGTCTCAGACGCTGCCGTCTGCCCACGGTCGCGTTTCTCCGGCATTAATTCTAATGGCTTCTGCCATCTCTACAGTTGAAAACGTTTGTTACACTGGTACAAACTTCTGGTCTTTTTCTACAAAACAGAGAAAAATGGCTCACAGCAAGTGTTGCCATGATTTGGCCTGTGGCCACCGCAGACGAGGAGGTTCAGACCTTGCCCCGTGGACGGGGCGGATCCTGCTGGCGGCACAGCCCGGTCCTGGCAGCTCCCTGCAGTCTCCTCCGAGGAGCCCATGGCCTCCTGTCTCGAGGCACGGCTAGCGGCTGACCTTGACCATGGGCAAATGCCTCGTAGTCTGACTAAACTGCACCCAGAAAACAGGATCAACTCAGAAGACTACTCGCAGCTACCCTTATTCCGCTTCTGCTCTCGAATGCCGGGAGCACACAGTGCCAGGGCCGCCCAGCCCAGGGCGCTCTCCGGCTCAGCCTCGTGGGCCAGATGACGTCCATGGAAGGCTGAGCAGGAAGCGTGCCAACGTGCAGCTTCCGCCCATGCTCCTCAAACTTAACTGAACCTGCCACAATTCCTCAGAACACAGGTAAGATTCTTTCAGGAGAATGCTATTTTAATTTATTTTTTAAAGATTTTATTTATTTATTTATTTGATAGAGCACAAGCAGTAGGAGTGGCTGGCCGAGGGAGAAGCAGGCTCCCCGCAGAGCAGGGGGAGCCCGATGTGGGATTCGATCCCAGGACCCCGGGATCATGACCTGAGCCGAAGGCAGTCGCCCAACCAACTGAGCCACCCAGGCGCCCAGGAGGATGCTATTTTATTATTGGCACGGATTCCAACTGCTGGTGCCTGGTAAAAACCAAAGCAGACAAACTTCAATACAGATTCATTATTTCTTTAGATTTTAAAATTTTATTCATTCATTTGACAGAGAGAGACACAGCAAGAGAGGGAACACAAGCAGGGGGAGTGGGAGAGGGAGAAGCAGGCTTCCCGTGGAGCAGGGAGCCCGATGCGGGGCTTGATCCCAGGACCCTGGGATCATGACCTGAGCCAAAGGCAGACGCTTAATGACTGAGCCCCCCAGGCGCCCCTTCTTTAGATTTCTGACCGCCAAACCCACATGGGAGGTGGGAGGTTGGCGTTCCCACTGCACTGGTCCAGCGACCCAAACCACACAAATGACCACCTTCCCAAGCACGTGGCCAGGTGTCATCCTGTTCCCTGGTGGCAAAGTGGACCCAGGAACAAGTGGCTATGTCCACTTCTGCTAGGCAACCTGAGCACAGCCAAGTGGTGCCACATGACTGCACGGTCCTGGGCAGAGTGCAGGTCTCCCTCCCCGCCCTCCCCCCGCCGCCCCCCGGCCCCACGTCACACCATCCCTCACCAGGTGCTCCCTGGCAAGAAGGCAGGGGAGTGTTTGCAGAGATGAAAGAACAGGTAAATGTTACTGGAAAGCCTTCGGATGTTCTTGGAGATGGGTAATTGAAGGGCATTTTTCAGTATTTTGGATATACCAAGAGGCATAAAAAAAATACAGTGACTGTCCATCTACCCATAAGCCACCGCTAGCTCGGTCTAGAAAGACTGGTCTCCCACCCTGGGCCCCTAGCGGGACAGACAGTCCTTATAGTAGGGGAGGATCATTCCTGTACATGTTTACATCTTGAACAGTTACGCATTCTTAAAAACGCAACCGTCTTGTACGTTCTAGATGACACAGAAGTCAGTGAATCATATTCTTCCAACAACAAGCTTTCTTTGCTCTTTATCCTTGTGAGATCATCTACGGTTCTTAGTATTGTAGGTTATGAACAGACAAGTTCCTTGTTCACTCACCCGACGGTGAACGCTGAGCTCCTTCAGGGGTTTGCTAGTTCCTGTTTCTGAACATGTTTTCCTGCCTGTATGTGCATGAGGTTCCTGACCCACATGGGCCGCTGCCAGTCTCCAAAGGGCCACGGTCAAGGCCACTGGCCCCCACCCCTCAGCCCGACATCCCCGTGGTTGTGAAAGCTCTGAGAGGGCATCTGGCTGGTCTGACCTGCCGACTCCTACTGAGGACGAGCATTTTTACCCATTTTCTTCCCATTTCTATTAATTCCCATTTATGAGCTGTCACTTTCCTATAGACTAAGAATTTTTTGCATATTCTGGATACTTCTCTCTTTGCCAGTTATATCTGCTCTTGCAGGTTTCATTTTTATTGTTGTATTCCCATATAAAGAAGTTTACCATGTAAACATAGGTGAAGTTCCTACTGTTTTCTTCACCGTCTGGATCGGAGCTTAATAAGTCCGTAGTGTCCTGCGTGCGGGTGGTGCTCTCCCACAGCTCTGGCCCAGTCTTTACAACACTCAAGAGCTTGTTTACTCTGGCTGAGGGAGAGCTATAACCTGTACCCCCAACACAGACTACCAATTTAGACAAATCACTATCGTTCAGAGTCAACGTTCCTTAGCTTTGCTTGCAGGGCCGGGGCCGGTGATGGCTGCCTGCCTCCCTGAGGTCTCACACCTGCTTTCTGAGCCTGCGTCCTTGCCCAGAAGCGCACCCTCTAGATCTGTTTTGTGAGCTCCCATCAGGGTGAACTGCTCTCCATCTGAAAGCACCTTTATCGCACACACGTTCTGAATGATCCTTGTCTCTCCACACACCCCAGGCTGACAGCAGCTTTGCCCCAGCATGCTGAAACAAGCACAAGGCGCTGCGTCACGCCACCTTCTGTATGTCTGCTATGCTGAGCAGGCCACACTCAGCCTGACCGTCCGTTCTCCAAATAGTAGTGTGTCAGTTTTTCCATGGCTGCTTTTAAGATCTTCTCTTTGCTTCTGGTGCCCCGTGATTTCATTCTGACACAGATGTGGATTTCTGTGCTTCCTGAATCTGTGTGCTCAGTCTTCCGTCAGCTACAGAAAATTCCTGGCCGTGTCACACGTCCTCCTGGGCACGCCTCCACATTTCGCTGTGTGGCCCCCTCCCCCACCCCCCGCCCCGCAGGTTGCTCCTGACCTTTCTCGGGTCCCACCAGCCACTCCGCGCTGCACCCTGGGCACCCCCAATGTTCTTCAGTTCACTAACCCAAGGTCTCTGTTGCTGCTCTGGATCTCCCACCAAGTCCACAGTGATTTTCAATCACTGTGTTTTTCATTTCTAAAAGTTGATTCTTTTACAAATCTCCTAGGTCATTTTTAGGGGTCTTGTTTATGGTTTCTTCCATTAATCCGAAAATATTTTCAGCATTCGTATCTTATACTCTGCAACTTATGGTTCCAGTATCTGAATCCTCAGAGGTTAAGTTTTGTTGCTGTTTCTGACTTGTTCACAGTAGCTTTCCTACAGGTACTTGGTTCTTTTTACCTGTACGCTCATGTTTAACGGATTTTAATCTGGGGAAATCCTGAGTCCTGGGTGTAATGGGAGAGGCACACAGCCAGATTTTCAGTGGGTTTGCCAACACTGTGATTCCTGAGTGCTCTCTCCCTGGGGTGAGCACCAGGGCCCTGCAGTGTCCAAGTGCAGGTGTGTGTACCACTCTCTGCAGAAGCTCAGGGTGCACTGGTTGTGACCCCAGCCCCACTGCTCGTGTGGCACTGCCTAGGCCCCTGGTGTTGCTGCTGAGGGACTTGGGAAATGGATGACTGCATAAAGCGCAAACTGCTTTGCAGGGCTGGGAGTCTGGTGCTGCCTCTGCTCCAGGAGGCTCCCTTCGCTGCAGCATCCACGAAGCACAAAGAGGTGGCCGTTGGCATGTCAAGAGGGTAAAAGCCCGGATCCGAAGCAGTTTGCTCCTCTTGACGCCCAGAGCCCTGACTGCTCTGTAGTACTTAACTCCTCAGTTAGCTTTTCTAGATCATGGAGCCAGTCCAGACACAAACTCTGCATCCTGGGAGGAAGGGCAAGCTGAGAGTTCCACATCTCACAGAGAATTTTTATGCTTCCCCTACCCCCTAAGGTGTCAGACACATTTCCCTTGGGACTCCCCACCTGGACGTACTTTTCCATAATCCTCGAGTGTCTCACTGCACACTGTGTGGACCCAAGGTTGTAAGCACACCAGCCCTCTGCTGTGAAAACCCAGCCAGCGGCGTCCCGGGACCAGATGCCCCCAGGCCAGCTCAGCGACCCAGGTTCCCCGACCTTCTGCTGCCTGCCCCTCTTCACCCTGGCCGTCGGGCTCTCCCCCTCGTTATGTGCGCACAGTGACCCATGTGCACAGGCCCCCTGCCACGCACGTCCCACAGGGAGGCCCCACCTGACTCACCATTCCACTAGGGACGATGGGGGGACAGTCTCTTTCCAGCACCAGAAATGCACTATGCTGTCTGAGATCGAAGACACAGCCCTCAGCAGTACTGCTGTTACTGCCCTCCTCAGAGAATGTGCCCAGAATAAACTACCGAGACGCCAGAGCCTCCACTTCCTAGAGGCCACCAGGACTTCAGGTCAGCCACCCCACCTGCTGTCCAACACGACCACCAGCGAACTCGGAGGGCATTTTCCCCTCTTGTTCCCTCTAGAGGAAATGGCAAACTGGAACATGGCCATTCCACATGCTTAGTGGTAAATCATTACCCCACGTCCTTCCTTCCCGCTCATCTTGGAAACAATACAAAAAATACATATATTTTGAAAATATTTTAAAAGCATTTTAAAAACCACCAAAAGGAACCTTAGTGCCATGTGTACCGTCTGAATACAGATGGGACCTAAGCGAGGGAACAGGTGCTCAGACGCCCTCTCGTCTCCACCTTGAACCTGCTGCTCGGCAGGCAGGCGGCCTGAAGAGCGCAACCCAGCAGCCCCCAAGGCAGCTCCCACGCACCCAGGGCCGGTCCACCATGACACGTGCCCTACCTGTCCGAACCGCTCCAGCAGCACTCAAACTTGTCGAAGATGCAGTCGTTTTCATACAGAGAACAAAGCTTGCTTCGCAGGTACTCGTGGACCTTAATGAAACCACAGGAAGGTTAGAAAGCGTTGTGCACAGGTGTGGCGCCATGCCTGCACGGTGGCCTCACCTGGTGGGTCTCCACGGGCCGGCTCTCCATGTTGAGGTCCCACACCTTCACTGACAGGTAGTCTCGGGTCATCATGTACCGACCGCTGTGACTGAATTTTACGTCGGAGATGGAGGAGATTATTTCTGAGAAGAAGGACCTACTGCTGGGATCTTCAGGCTCTTCAAAAACTGAAAAACACAAAGTTTTCAGCTTCTGTTTAACGTGGGGATGCCTGGGTGGCAGAGCTGGGTTAAGTGATTTCAGCTCAGGTCCCGATCTCAGAGCTGCGGGATCGAGCCCTATGTCAGGCTCTGCGCTCGGCGCACAGTCCGCTTGGGATGCTCTGTCTTCTTTTGCCCCTCCCCCACTCACTCTCTCTAAAAAAACAAAACGAAACAAAAAACCACGAAAACAAAACAAAGCAAAAAGCCTTCACAAAACAACAAACCGAGAGAACAAACCATGTTCAAGTCCCTGGGCCCTCCCTGGGGGCTGCAGACTGCACACCACTCACGCTTCTGATTTTTCTGATCTCAGTATGTTTTCTGGCCTTCAACTTCCGAGCTTAAGAGACTTAGATGAAACGTCCCAGTGCCAGTTACTGCCAAGGGACAACATCAGAACACAGCCCCCCCCCCCCCCCCCCCCCCCCCCCCCGCAATCTCACTAAGACTCTGGAGCACCACATCTGTGCCTGAGGCCCCGGGCTGGGGCCTGGAAAAGCCCCTCAGGACACTCCCATGTGCCTTTTGGTCAAGAACCCCTGTGCTGACCACAGGTTGCTACCACACAAACACCTGCGAGTCTGAGCAGCCCAGGCCCTGGCGAGCCACGTGCAGACCTGTCCCGTCCATATCACGGGAAGATGATACGGCGTCACCTGGAAACACCAGATCCAGACTGTAACCTCTAGAATGGTCCCATATACCAAAGCCTGTCAGGAAAAGGGGTCTGTCTCTGCTGTTCAGGAGTGAAGCTCCACATAACAAAACCAAATTACTACTTTTCGAAAGATTCCAGATGCTTCTTTAGCAGACCTTCCTTTCTCCTACAGGTTTTGCTTTCTAAGAAGCTCAATAGCCCTCCACCTGCGAAGCAGTAGAGACCTCAGAGGCTCCACCAGACCCCTGATCGCATCATCATGCCCTCAGCTCAGGAAACTTCGAGTGAGTACTTCATTTTAAGCTGCTTTAGCCTTTTTTTTTTTCTTTTAATGTAGAAACCTATGTTTCTTGGTTCTGCATTTGAAGTTAATTTTAAGCAAGCCAGTGGCAATACCAAGCATTTACTCAAAAGTATTTTGCTGACAAAAACTACTTTTGGTATCTAAAATGGTTTACTCAAGAATATTATCTTGAGGGGCGGCTAGCTGGCTCAGTTGGTGGAGCGTGCGACTCGATCTTGGGGTTTTGAGTTCAAGCCCCACGGTGGGTGTAGATTACTAAAAACAACAGCAACAACAAAAGAATATTCTCTTGAAAGACACAGGCCAACGTTATACGAGGCTCATTCTTCCTTGTGGGAGTCCTATAGGAGGAATTCTCTAAAACATAGCTGCAGAAAAATGAGAACAAGGCAAAAAGGTTACTGAGAACCGGTTAGCGCAAACCCTCTAATGCCAGGCACTGCGGGTGCTGCTACACGTCCTACGGGAGACACTCCAGACACAACGATCCATGAATGGATTTCACCAGAGGAGAAAAGTGTCACAGGAAATGAAAATCGAAGGTACTTCCTCGGACAGGCTGGCTTGACCTGTCAACGGACTGTGAGGACCCTTGAGCAGAGTTACCAGTACACAGTCCAGTCCCCACCATGGGACCTAATGCACGACACACACACTTCCAGTTTCCTCTAAGGTCAGGCCTATTCTTTATGGCTAAACATAAAAACAAAACTTTCCTCACCTAGAAGAAACCAAGGCTCAGAGGATTAAAGCGCTAGAGCTTGGCCTGAGGGAACTGCCTCCAAGTCCAGCAAAGCACTGCGAACAGAGCCCATCCTGACAGCTGAGAACCGTCATGGGTGAGATGCGTTCTGGCAGCCTCAGCCGAGGTCCTAATGCACAGAGGTAGAGGCAACAGATGGTTCTCGGCTGGACCCAGCCAGGGAGTCCTCTGATGATGCCCTGGGATTCTGGGTGTGGGAGGAACCCTACGGGCTGCCCCACCATGGCCTCACGGCCCACGTGGTGCCAGCAATGGCCCACCAAAGAGCCACCCAGGGACTTAGGATCAAAAGCCAGTCCTACACTTGCACAGGTCTAGGGAGACCAGAAGAAACGCTAAGTCTCTGGAGAGGGTCTCAAGCCTGGAAACCAGGATCAACAGGAGCCATCCCAGCCCTTCCAGGCACTTACACTTGGAGTGTCTGTCACACAGGGCTGAAGAGCGCATGTCACACAGTCGGACGGTCCCTTTGCTGCTGCTGTACACAAACACGTTGCACTGGTGCGGGTGGAACTCGGCCGCGGTGATCACCTCCGTCAGCTCCTCCATGTTCACAGGCTTGATGTCCACGATGTCTGGAGGCGCACAGTTAAGGCAGAGCGCTTGGCGGGCTTTAGTCCACATTCAAGCCAACGTCAGGTGTGCGACACCCCGCAGCGAGGGGTGCGAGCAGACATGCACAGCAGGTGCTCCTGGTAAGAGAAGCCGCGTCCCCGCACTGCTCACACCACCACCGCACGCCTCACCAGGCCTGGGCCCATGCACACGCACACACTGCCTGCACCCTGCCGCGACCACGAACGTTCCACGGGAGGACGTCCCCAGCAAGATCAGACAAGCTCAATGATGTAAAGAAGAGGAAGCAAGCGGCCACCTGTGCAAAAACCCCATACCTATATCCATAAATTACACAAGAGAATTGCCAGATTCCAAGATTCTGCTTTTTCGAGAATCTTTTCTTGATCTGCCATCAAAAGCTTGTTCTAAGCAGTTAGAACAATGTTAACATTATAGCTTGCCAGACAGAGAAACCACGCAACTGAAGAAAACAAAGAAAGAGTAGAATCCGACTTTGGGTCGGGATGGAACAACAGGGTCCAGATGAACCGTTCCACTGAAACAAGCAAGAAACCTGACACCACAGCTCATCGCTGGAGACGAGACAGCAAGGCCGTGGCCCTCAAGGGGCTGGAGGCACCTCGACAGACGGAGCAGCGCCCCCGCTCACACTCATACACGGCACAGTCTGCGAAGTTAACCAGGAAGCAAGAAGCCCAAGGTGCGCGGAGGGGACGGCTGGCTGTGTGCAGACGGGCACAGCCGAACGAGGGCAGGGGGCTGAGGCTCTGCAAGAAGCACGACCCGCTGCCAGAGCGCTCATGGCAGTGCACCAAAGGTACTTCTAAGGTAACGGTATCAGGAAATACAAGCACGTATATGAAAGCGTTGTGTTTCACAACCTAGGTCACAAGGAAAGGCATCTAAAACATGATTGCGGGACAAAATTTTGTAAAGGCAACGAAAAGCATGACTGCATACACAAATCATTTATGAATTACAGTTCTCACAAATCATGAAGAAAAAAGATGAGATTCCAACAGGAGAAAAATCAAAAAGGACAGTAAAAAAAACTCACACTAATGGACAGTAAATTAACAAAAGATACTTAAACTCACCTATAATCAGAAAAATTAAAAATGGCCTTATTTTGGTTTTACTGATGTGAAAAATTATTTTAAAGAGGGTCCAGGGTTCTGCTAAAAACAAATACTCCGAGGCAGTGGGAGCCCCCACGTCTCAAAGCCTGCACGGAGGCTGGCGTCATGCGGATTGAGGCTCACAGGTGCGCACAAGGGGCGGCAGCAGAGCGGCTCGGGGCACCGCGTCCACGGCTCTGCGTGTGTACAACCTGTCCTGCAGCTGCAAGCGGGAAAGATGGTTCTAATGCATCAAGAAACGACAAGGCTAGCAGCAGGGGCTTTCTGACGTGCCCCAGGCCCTGTGCTACCAGCTCTGCAGCCACGGGCTCTTGGGTTCCACAGAACCGCAGGCGGCACCCCAGGAGTGCGGGTTTACGGAGGAAGAGAAAGACCTGGGCTGACACAGGGCCGTCATGTAATTAAGGTCTTCGAGCAGAACTCGGGCCCCCGACACCCCCGAGTGCTTGGAACTTCATTACCACTGTGCAGAGGATGAGCCCCACTGTTCCTAAACATAAACGCCCTAATACAGACATAAAAACTGCCTACAACGGCTATCTGTGGAGGGTGGGATGGCAGGGAGAACCTCCTATGAATTATCTGCATTTTGTTCAAAATGGTCACATACTAATAGAAGAAAGAAGGATTTCAGATACGAGTTTAAGGAGAATAAAGAGAAAGCAGGGAGCATGAGCACGAGCCCCGGAAGATGGGAGGTTGCTGCCAAGCTGCACGAGGAGGAGACGCAGCAGGCGGCCGTCCGCACGCGCTGTGCCTCGGCGCCCAGGAGCACCTCACCGCCGGCAGCTGCGGGCGCCGCACGGATGGCGGAACCGCCGTGCCCTCTTTCCATCAGCTAAGTCATCACGTTAAGTAAATAACCACAGCAAGTACGAGGACATCAAATAATAAAAATCCAGTGTGAAATGCTAGAATTTAAAACACCACACACACTTCATTTCATGGATTTTCTTGAGTACAAGGGAGCGCGCACACATGCCTAGTCCCGTCTCGGCTGCAGCCCAGGCGACCCGAGGGCATCTGTCCCACTCTGGCCGGCCCGACATCGCTCCCAAACGTGGGAAATCCTGACTGATGGCCCTCGATGTGCACATAAGACAGGGCTCTCATTTCTGGAGAAATCAACAACTTTTAACATGAGTGAATAACCAGTCGCATGTAGATTTTCACCATAACGGTAACCGCACAGCTGCAGCCTTAAGAGAGATGAATGTTTGAATATTCCTTAACAGCTTGTCTTCTGTAACAGAATTCTCACATGATCAGTCACTCCTCGGGCTGTGTAACTAACCACCACTCTAACCAAAGTCAGTGTCTTCTATTCTAGTATCTACTAGCCAGTTTGTGTTGGGGGCAAGGGACCAGGCAACACTGAACCTCTAGATACACACTATTTAAAATTGTCTCTCATGAACCTGGGAGGGCAATGGACTTGAGGTCATTTTCATTTTGTAGAGAACTCTCCCCAAAGGTAGAAAGCAGTTTCCATTCTTAGGGACACGTTAAATCAGAGAACTTACACCACAGCTACCATGCAGCAAGCTGATATGCAGAAACACACATGCACTGAGAACTTCCCTGAAGAACAAACCTATGAAAGATGCCAAGACAGCCATCTGATGAAGGATACTAAAACTTCTATCTGTGATTTCTAAATGCCATAGATTAATTCTCAGGTCATCTGCAGAAAGATATGTTTCATGATCACTATTTACTGAAATGGAATTTATATGATATGTGTGAGCATTTGCAAAAATTCGTCGTGGACTTGCTTCTACCATAAGATCCATGGGCTTCAATTTTGGAACCTAAAAATGGAAGGAAATAGGAATTCAAAACAAAGATCACCAGAACATAAAATTACAACACTTACAGTAGAAAACAAAAAAGAACACATCTATATTCCCAGCGAGCTAAGAGTTTTGTACAGGCACTACCCCAAATAACCAGTGAGCAGAGCTGTGGAAACAGGCTGCGGACGAGGCCCTGTCCCTCCTTGCGGCAGAGCTGTTCTTGCCGAGGGGCAGGCTACACTGGCACGGAAACAAACCGCCTCCAGGGTACGGGTGCCTCTAATGGTGGGGTTTCACTTTCCTGTCTGTCCTGAAGCCACGGTGAGCATGGGACACAGTCAAGGACCACCCCCTGCCCCTCCTTGCAGCTGCTGCCTTGCAGAGTGACAGTCTGAGCCTCTTCAGTGCCCTGGTCTGCTGCTCAGTGCACATGCCAAGCGCCGCCACGGAGGGGTGCAAGGGCAGGAGAGCGCATGGGAGGGCTCCCAGAGAGCTGATGAGGTGCCACGCTCCATCTGCTGCTGGCCACGTGGGCTCGTGGGCCTGCGAGAGCTCATGCAGCGGTTCACTTCTCTGGCAGAGACAGCTTCTGGTATGTACAATACGCTTCAGTGAGAGTTTTTTTTTAAAAGGGACACAAAAACCCATCTCTGTGCTGGGCACTGCAGTCAGGGAACAGGACCTCTACACCACCGTGCAGACA